AATCTGAATCACTTGAAAAAAACACGGGGGTGCTTAACTTTTTTCCAGGTGTATATTTATGTCAGTATAGAGTGAATAAAGTGGTGTGAGAAATAATTTATGGTTATGTGATAAAATGACAAATCTAGCTTGCACAGTGAAAAACAAAAGGGAAGTTCAAAAGACGTATAAAAGTTCCACAGGTATGGGGAATTTTTATAGTTTTTATAGACCTTCTTTTCATTCCTGAAAATGTTTTTGTATGAAGTTATATTTGTTTGAAAGCTACAAACATTTTCTTGTATGACAAAACATCAGGTAAGCTTAGTTAGGTTTAGAGAGTATGGTAGGTGATGGCAAAATATTTCAGTAGCTGAAATATGTCTCAAATCTTTATTTTTGTAATATTGTTAAATTTATAATATTCAAACAATGCACTTAAAGTTAAATAAAATAACTTATTTATTGAAAATAAAGTATACTTCTAGATAAAAGTTCATTTGTATCAAGAATATTGTTACCTACTCTGGCCTGATACCATATTGAAAGGTCACATCCTAAGTCATTGTTAGATCCCAGTCAGTTTCTGCAGTGTTTTTTTTTATGATGTACAGTTAGGACCAATGAATATTGCAATCAGCAAAATTAATTATCAAAAGAAATATGTTTATATCATGTTGAAACTGGTTGGTTATATAAAATGTAACTTTATGATCCATATTTTAAAAAATGGAAATTTAAAATAAAAGGTAGTATGTTTATTTTTATTTTTTTCAAAAATGTCCCACAAAACAATTAACACAACATAAAAAATGATAGAAAACTAAATCGAGTCATATGATTATATTAAACTGGAACTAGATTCTATAAAGTGAGTTTGTTTTAAGTTTCATGCAATTTGGTTAAGTGTTTCCACTGTGAGAAGGAAAAAAATTAGGGATATCATAATGCACTTCCTGTCCCTAAAGGGTTAAGCAGTACAAAAATAGTAGCTTGATATTCCACTCATACTGTACGAAATATAAAGGCATTCAAGAATATTTAATCATTTTTGTTCTGTGCTATTTTTGTAACTTGGGAGCTGTGTTCAACATGTAACATATGGAAACAGAAGAATGTGTGTGCATATAGATGTTAAGTATTCATTCTAAAATTGTGAATTATATTTTTCATGTTGTACATAAGCAGTGTTCTATACACTACTAATTTCAGGCTGAATATTTCTTGTAACAAATCAACAACAGACAAAAGTGGTCAAAGCACCTCTGGTCACAGTTCTTCATTTCGAGGAGTGAAAAGAAAACGCACTATAGCTCAGAAGCGAAGTAGCACTACCATTCATGTCACAACATCTGCTAAAGGTGATATTGGAATCACTGATCAAGATCAGGAAGGAAAATATATCAAAATTCACAACAAAGGAGATCAGGTATTATCTTGAAATTGATTTGTGTTTGTTATCCACATAGAATTTTGTAAAACAAGCCATTACAAAAAATGTACTACCGTAATCTTCGGCATGCTTCCCAACAGCCTTACATTTTCGATACAGTATCTTACCTCCACTCACAAAATTGCTTTTCTGGATTATTACTGCCCTCTATTGGCACATATTGTCAATTCTCAACACTAGCCTTCTGCTTCTGCATATCCACATGTAAGTGATTATACAGGAGTGTGACACAATCCCTGTCATAACTAGTCCCTCTCCACATTTACACTTATTAATCACTTCTCAATTGGCAGTAGTGCTGTACAGTCGTGCTTGTTTTTTCTCACAAATGTCTCAACATTTTCCTTTATACTACAGGCTTTTGTTATTTCTTTCTTTAAAGGAGCCTTTTTCCTAGTGTATTGTGGATCCCACTCTGTGGCGAGTGGTGCCTGACCAGGTATACTTTTTTTTGGAAATCCGCACTGTCCATCTTGTGACCGTGCTCGATGTCAATTATGTTGTAGCCCTTCCTACCGTGTATGTGATGTACAATTCCACATGCCACCAGATGTTGGTTGTATGTCTCCATGTTATTGTTATCTATAACTAAACAATTGCTTTGCAGGTTTGAGTTATTCACACTGTAGAAATTGGGTGTTCTGTGGGACCACCAGTAGTTCTCTCTAGTGGTTTTTTGCTTCATAAATATGTTTATTCCGAACCATATACTCATGGACTAACATGCTGCCCATCTCTGATGCTTCGTGACGTTGAGACTCTTCCTACCACGGATCTGATGTACAATTCCAGATGCCACCATGTTTTGGTTGATTCACTCCATAGATGTGGTTGCTCTGCTTTTCAAAATAGGGTATTATGGTCATCCATTACACTGTCTCCAGTGGTGCAGTCATCTGGACTCTTCAATGCATTTTCCCCCTTTCTTCTAGTGGAGTATGTGAGTCCTTACCAGTTCCTAGCCATTAGAGTGGTGGAACATGGAGACTTGTCCTTCTGAGTAATGAATCATATGACTCTGTAAAGAGTAAGGTGATGGCATTCTGCAGGTGTCACTGGCATATAGCATTTCCTACTACGGACTTGTTGTTCAGTTCCAGATGCTGCCAGCTTTTGGTTTTAGCACTATGCTGTATTCCTGTCTATATATCTGATGAATTGTTTTTTCCTGCCATGATGATCCTCCTTCTTACCATCCTCTGGATGTAAGTAATTCCTCACATGTGTGCTGGACAGTGTCCCTCCTCCTACTGTGGACTGGATGACAAATGCCCACTCCTGCCAGGTTTTGGACTGGAAATGCACCCTAGGTTTGCAGTCCCTCTTTCTACCAACTGCTAGATGTCGGTTCCTGGCAAATCTCATGTTGGTTATAGCTGGATGCAACATGTTTTCCCACTTGTGTACGGATGGATATCCTCCACTTACCACAGACTGGAAGTACTATAACCATTGTCATCAGGTTTTGGATTGGAGATAACATCCTGCCCGGGGCTTTCCACTTTCCTACCTTCTGCTGGATGTTGGTTCCTGGCAGATCTGGTGTTGGTTGTGTTGGAAATGTGTGCAACTGCACAAAGATTTTGGTACGAAAACTCGTCTTCCCTACTAATTCATGTCTCGAGGTGAAGAGGTAGGTGATCCTCTGCCTACCATGGAATCAATGTACAATTCCAGATACCACAAGTTGTTGGATGAAGTCAAACCACCACTATGGTCTGTTGTTCCCTAGCCGCTCAACACCCAGGGGTCCCATTAATCAGTAATATGTATTATGGGATTCCTTCATGTTTTTCTGCCTTTTATGTCATAAAAGAGCAAAGAGTATACCTGGATCAGATGTGGTACAGTCTCCTGCTGAGGTGTGATATTTTCTCTTTTGGTTCCATACCTTATGATCTCTCTTTAATGCTTCCTAAAGGGGGATCATTTTTTCACTGGCTCTCCACCAATTCAATGTGGGATTCTAACTATTTTGTGAGAAGAGGTAAGATATCTTATTCGAAGTTCACATTTTCCTAAACTGAAAATGTATTTCCAATAGATAGTTACCTCCACTCATATTTCCCACCCAACCTCTCCACTTCTGGTGATAGGTGGTGTAGGCCTTCTGACCAATCTTGAAGTGATTAACAAGCGGAAATGTGGAGAGGACACTGGTTACGATTGGGGTTGTGTTGATCTTCTGTTGGTGGAGAGGTGCTGCATAATCATTTACATTTGATGTGGATATGCAGAAGTGAGAAGTGGAAGGCTAGTGGCGAGTATTGAAATCTTGTGCCAATAGAGGGCAGCACTAATCAAGAAAAGCTATTTTTTTGGTGTGCAAAACTTGAATATAGCTTTTATAGGTAGAAACATCTGTTAGCTGAGTTCTTGCTTAGATCTTAAAATATAACTTTGATAAACAGAAACATTGGCACATTGCCAAAAAGAATTCCTGTACAACCTACACATCCTTCAGTAGGTCTGTGACATTTCCTGATTGGCTTAGAACTTGCCAATCAGTGATTTCCTTACCGGCCTACGTTGATTTGACTCATTTTATAAGCTGTGCTATTTCCTATAGATCATTTTCCAGAGGGTTCTTTTATGAT